AACTTGAATAAGGTTGTTTCCAAGATTATGGTTCCTACTCTTGCAAACGTTCCAAAATTGGTGCAATACTGAGTACTCTGCACCGGGTGTTTCGGCTTACCTCTGATTCCTGGAGATGGCATGAGGCTCTATTAGTGGTTAAAAGGGAGCTGCTGATGAGAGGCTACCCTGGTCGTTTGATTTCTTCAACCCTTAGGAAATTCGACAACAAAATGGGAAGGGATGTTGCTGAAGTGGTTGCAGCATGTGTACAATAGGGGCTTGGCTGTTTGCCAAGTATGCCTTATATGGCCTTCGAACTTGGATTAAGTAGGTGGCTTTATTTTTTAATGGGTGCGCATTTTTGGTTCCCCTTCGGGGGGTGTTTTTTTTTTTTCTGGTAGCCGCCCGTTTGTTTTTTTGCGCGTGATTTTTTTTTTTTTGATATTAACGCCCGTTTGGCACTGGTGCACTAGTATGCTGGCTTTATGCTCTATGTTGTTCCGGACTTACGGTATTAATACATCGGCATGGGCGTATCGGACGTCAGACATGACGGGAAACGGTTTGTAGGTGACATAGATGCGATTGGGGATATACGCTGCACTTTCGAGAATTTACTTGGATGATTTTTTGGACTTCGTACATTGGGTCTTTTATATCAAGATGGTAACCGGGTGCTGAGTAAGGGGTTGGGCTGTGTCTGCCCGATACGGTTACATGGGACTCCTTCCGTGCTCAGAGGGGAATTTTGCGTGTTTAGTAGTGACTCTACCGATCACGCTATATACCCACCAACCGAAGCATTTTGCCTCTCATTCTGCGCGATCGCGAGAACGTGCGCGATCGGTTGTGTTTTGCTCGGTGGCGATGCCGGAGGTGTCGCTGCTCACCTTTGGTGTATGACCGGGCCTGTCGCAGTTGGGAATCGTACATGCTGACACGCACCGCTGGCATAGCAGTCATCAGGGAGCACGTACACGGACATGCGAGGAAACTATCTCTTGATCTGTTTGTTTGTGCGCGTTTGGCTGTGCTGTGCAGGTCTTTGATCTAATCAAGTTGTAGCTTCGACATGACTTCAATGGTCGCTGGTTTACCATCGATGGGATTGATTCGGTTTTGGGTTTTGCTCCTATCCCTCTTTCGGACAGTGCTTACTATTAGGTGTAGGGTAGCTATATAAGGGGCAAGGCTTTAGGAATGACCTCTATGATTCGTATGGAGGCACATACTAGATTACCTCCTGATGAGTCTGCGTGCGGGGTGGACAAAACGCGTCAAGGGTGACCGCGTTGTTCATTTTGGTTCAGTTATGTGCTGTTTTGATTCCATACTTCTGCGTGCGTAACGATACGGAATTCAGGGTGTATCTTTGCTTTGCCGTTCTCATGCTGTCGCTGTCTTTGCCGAGCAGTCTTTCCTCTTTTCTCCTCTGCCATTGGACGGATGGGTATGAATGGGCCTACCAATGTCCATTCCTCAAATATTATCATGTAGTCTCTCCTTATTTCTTCATTGTCCCCTCCTGCAGCCCCTCCCCATCTTACTTTTCCCATTTCCCCCCCCTGGTTTCCCCCAAGCCAGCATGTACAGAATTTTTGAATATGTTTGTGTATTTTGTCTCGTGAAGATAAGGGTCTAATTAGACACTCCTAAAAGTGCCTGTTTTTAGGATTGCGTCTTGGTTGCACGCAATCCTAAATCCAATTTTGAGATCGAAACTGTGAAAACGACGTTAGGACGAGTCCTAAAGGATTTAGGATTCCCCAGGCAAAATCGTCCTAAATTTTCCAGTAGCCCCCAACCTACTAAAAAATTTAGGATTCCCGCATTTCACGGACTCGTTGCGTCGCACGCATGGCACCGTCGACACGGAGTTGCTGATGCAGAAGTGGTCCGTCGGGTCAATGGTCAGACATCGGAGACGTTTTCTGCGGGTCGACGCGGGCAACGGCCACGAACGGTAGTTGTTATAGGGGATTGGACGGACATTGGCAGGAATGGATGGTCATTGGCGACGTGGCTGCGTATGCGCATATGAAAATAGGCCACGGGAGACCTTTCAGGACGAATCCTAAAAGATGATTTTTAGGACTGCATGTAACGCCGCCGCACAAAATCCTAAAAGTCCTTTAGGACTCGTCCTAAAAATTTTAGGATTCTTTTAGGAGTGTCGAACGAGACCCTAAGTATTGTATTTTTTCTTTCACTTATCCCATTTAGCTGTAATTTCTGTTTGGACAGACATTTTAATAGTTTCTGTGAATTCAGATCCATCTATACGATCTCCCTCATTTCATAAGTGCATCTCCTCGACCAAATGGCCCATACAACTGCTCTTCTTCCCATGGTGAAGAGGTTTTGAGTAAAGTCATCATATGGCTCTGCTGTCCATGATTCCAAAAGAATTGCTCTCCAACTCCATGAACATCGTGTCTGCGAACTTAGCTGATTCCAAACTCTGTCCCACCACCTCCATAACCATATAGCTCCAGGGCATTGCATAAAGATACGCTCAATGGTTTCAGGAATCATCCTACTGGGGTCTCGTTCGACACCACTAGATAACCCTAAAGTCTCAAGTGCGCCCTAACCCGAAAATCGTGATTAAAAAATACTTACTGCAATCTTCATTCCATGTGCACTTCACAAAATACTTGAAACGGCCGCACTTGAAACCGAACTCCACGGCTTGACCAATCCTGGACAAGGATCGCCGTTTGGAAAAAAAAAAAACAAAAAAAAAAAACACTTGGAATGCTGGCAGTATCCGCTGACACTTGAACTCAAGACTCCCGGGAGAGGTACCTTGAGCTCAAGTGCGAATTTGCCCCGGCAACACTTAAGTTTCGAGGGCTAGCACTAGAGAGCCGGAGAGTAGAAACAACTCCGCGACCAGGTTAGGGTGGGGTCGAACGAAGAATTCCCCTTCAACCCTTGAATTCAAGTTGTGTCGAACGAGGCCCTAGGGAATGCAAATTTGCAAAATTTACACCACCTGGATGCAATTCTTTTTTGTTCTAAGGAATATCTATCTATTAGCCAGTCATTAGTGGGAAGGCATCGGTGTTCAATCTGCCATTGAAGTGATGCTATCTTCGCCGGTTTGAATTTCATTAAGTTAAACCATTTGATTAATCTTATGTCTTCTCTACTAAATACGTGGAATAAAATATCGGGGCTATGAAATTTGGACATCATAAAAATGGTCAGAGCCATGCAGGCATGTTCTGCCTCTTGAACCACATCCGCAAAATCAGCTTGGCGGCGCCTTATAAACTCCGCTGTGACTGGGGGCCTCGCTGCACTACTCTCCACATGCACAAAAGACCAAAGAGTTGGAAATGTATTTAGTCTCGTTTTGTACATTTAGAGAGTGGTGCAGTGACTGGGTGCGACAATTCTTGTGGGGCGGTTCCCGTGCGGTAGGGCCAAGGCACCTCCGCGGATGTAAGCGGTTCATGGGACCGTGGTTGGGGGACTGGGGAAACGCTCACCGGCCGACGAGATGATCGTGGAACACGGTAACAGAGAAGAATCTCCAGCACGGTAGCACCAGCGCTCTCCGAGTCACTGGATCGCTTTGCGAGTGTCTGACGAGAGAGAGACTTCGCTAGACGAGGTAGACAGACTCTATTCCGCCATACACAGAGAGAGAGAGAGAGAGAGAGAGAGAGAGAGAGAGAGAGAGAGGGATGGAATATCAAGGAGGGATCGCGTGAGGGTTTGTGCCGTTGTTCTTGTCCTTGCTCACCAGATCGGACAAGACACTCGTCGCTTGTTGGAGATGGTTGGGTAGAGGTCGAGGCTACCATTGCCGGGAATGTTGAATCTCCCTGGGATGGAAGACATGCTCTCGACGAGGAATACAAATTGTGTTCAATCCTCTTCCATGCATTTGTGGCCATTATTGTTGGAGGTGGTCCGCCCTCCGCCTGCACACGCCCATCCCCTCGACCCTGGAATGTCCCCGTGCACGACTGAGGGCCAGATCCCACTGGCCGAGAGGATTGGAGTAAGTGGCTGAATCTGGACGTGTTCCACACAGAGATGCAGAAAAGTCGTTCAATCACAGTCTCTCCACAAACACGTCCAGATTCAGAGGCTTATTCCAATCCTCTTTGCCAATGGTATTTGACCCTGACAGTCACGACAACTGTATAATCAGTAACCATGTCCGCCAACTTCACAGCCTGCACTTCCAAACACGCATTTTCTAGGGACAGACTCACTCTCGCCCGCCCCAAGTCGAGGGAATCCTTGGCCCCTCTTCACACACTCAGTTTTTTTTTGTTTTTTTTTTTCCAATTCGGAACGGGTTAGATTCCCTAGCCGACCTCGGAGTGGCTAGGGACTAGAACTGACGAGCCTCTTTTCCTACAAAATACACGAACTTCGTGGCCAATAGGAACACTGAATGTTCTGACTAATGGCGGTTCTTTTTTCGTAAGAAACCTCCACCCTGTGATCAATACAGATCATCAGTTTCAGATGATGTCGCACAAACAAAGGCGATAAAATACCGGACCGAGTGAATTGCCAGTGGGACTTGTCCCCAGGAATAAGAAAATAAGGAAGTAGAGTTAGTGTTGCTTGAGTAGCCTAGCAATAGGTTAGCAATTATCCATGTTTTTCCTAAATTTTCTAGAACCTTTTTCATAGTTCTCAGATTGTTCTTAGCCGAAGCCAGGTAATGGCCCTGGTATTTCAAATCATTTGTATAATTCTATATGGGACGCTGGGCCCGGTTCCCAGCACGTGTTGCTCCCCACGAATAGACAGGAACATTTGTCCCAAAAAAAAAAAAAAAGGTTATCGGAGAGTGAGGTCAGCAGTGTGTGGATGCCATCATCGCTTAAGTGCGATTATCAAACTAGTCTGCGGAGAAGATGTCTGGTGCGGGTTCCCGGGATTCTGGGGAATGCTGACGAGATTACGATCGCGATCATGGACGCGAACGAGAGTATTATCACTGACGTGTTCGCAATAACGGCGGCCGTGAGCTGAGTATTGAGGATCGCCGTGATCGTCATGGAGAACCTCGTCAGGAGCGATATCGTGATCCGCCAAGGCGTTTTGTTCCCGTCTGTTACGAGTGTGGTGAACCTGGGCACTACAAGAATCAATGTCCCAGGCTAGTAGGCGAAAGTAGTATGAAGTTTTCCTCCTCATATCGAGGACGATCGACCTCGCCGGCGAACTAAGTGCAAATGCGAGAACAACGATCCGCATCCGACGAACCGACTTTACTCAAGCAACTTGATGACCTCGCTAGCTCCTTTGCTACTATGAAGAACTACATCGATAATGAGTTGGCACGCAAGGAAGAAAAAGAGAAGGAGAAGAAAGAGAAGGAGAAAAAAGAGAAGGAGAAGAGCAAACAAGAAGAGCGGGAGCGTGAGCAAAGAGAAGAGGATGCGCGTTTGACTCGGGAGAAGCGTGACGAGAAGTGTCGGATCAAGAATGAGGAGGAGAAGCGAAAGGAGGCGGAATTTCGGGAAGCTTTGCGGAAGGATTTGAGGATGGAGGTCCGCCGACACGTTGGCGGCGTATGCGAAGAACTTCACCATCGTTCACTTGATACCTTACCAACAAGTAAGATGAAGAAAGGTAAGGAGAAGGTTCCAGTGTATCATTCTACGAGTGACGAGGAAGATAACTTGGATAACAGTGATGTTGAAGCCCTCAGCGAGCAAGCTGAAGGACTTGTGATTAGCGAGAAGCGAAGCGTACTGCTGAACTTGTCGTAGGGAACAGCCCGCCGATGGAGACTCCTGCTAAACGTCGTACTAAGAGGGGGCTGTGGGATCCAAAGCACCTAGTCCTTAGTTGCCGTCATCCATCAATGAAGAAATCGTTGAACAAGACATCGGTGAGAAGCCATATGAAGAAAAGGAAGATACCGACAACTGTTGGCGATCAGGGGAAGTTGCATTACGTCAAGGACAACCTGCGAGAATTGGGAGGTATGAACGTAGATGAACTTAAACAGATTTGCAGAGAGGAAGATGTGTTGTTTGAGGGTAAGAAGAAGATGGATACCATCTTGGCGATTATGGAGAAGCGAACCCATGTCGCATACAGAATTCAGGAGAAAGAGGGGGAGACTACTGACGACACTGCCAATGAAGGTGAGGAACATACCAAGGGGGGCAATCAGTCCCCAGATGTTGACGAAGTTGACTATTCAGAGGACGACGATAACTGAAGTATATGAGATTACTGGAGATTGAGCAGAGCATTGGTAGCTCTCCGACGGGAGGGACCTTTTGATATCGACATCGAAAGGCTGTACAAATTTGTTATCATTTTGCTGACACTATATGATCAGATTAGATGGTTGTGTAAGTGTGTTGCATCATGGATTAGTCTGTATAGGCGTTTTGGTATTAAGATCTTGAACGCTGATGAAGGAGGGGTGTATGTACTAACCTCATCTACGTGTAAAGCGAAGTATGTCGGTCAGACAAGGCGAACAACTAATATACGTTGGAAGGAGCATCTATACGTATGTGAGCGAAGGAACAAGCAAACGCATCTATATAGGTGGTGGTAAGTTTTTGGCTCGGAGTCGTATGTGTTGTTGCCTATAGATGTATGTCCTGCTTCTGAACTGTCGATACTGGAACAACTTTACATTCATCGATGGTCTCCGGTGTTGAATACAATTGGAAAGCAGGTGTACGGATGTAAGACAACAGAAAAATTCCCACGAGAAATTAAATTTGAAAAAACATTCCATAAAATAAAAATTCTTCATATATATAAATAATCATTCCAATGTTCGTTCAATTTCAAAATTTCTTGTTTTATTTGATAAGTTTCCGTCTCAATATGAGTTTTCCCTTTCAACCACATCTATTTGTTCAAGATGGAATGAAAGTCTGGATGAGTTTATAAAATGTTATAATTAAACTTTCATTCTACCACAACAAATATCTTCTAATTTAAATTGGATGACCTTATTTATGACTGAAAATTCTTGCTTAGAACGACAGTCCGATTAAAATATTTCATGAACTCATCCAGAATTTCATTCCATCTCTAGCATTCAGTTCAAATAGGAAGGGATACCCCATTCGAGGAAGGAAAATTTTCAAATAAGACCGAAAATTTTAAAATTGGAATGACATTTTTTAAGATGGAATGAAAATTTTAAATTTAGAATGCAATTTTAATATAGAATGATTATTTAATTCAGGAAACTTTTTCTGTTGGAGAAAGAAAGTTAGACAACAGAAGCGAGAACGAGCGAAGTTGGGCAAAAAGAAGCGCACGCCGGTAGTAGAATCAATTGTTCAACCGGTCAAAGCAAAACTGCATGAAGATGACCACTGAAGTTTGAACTTCTACCAACTGTTAGATGATCAGATCGTTGACGATTGTCGCAGCTTCTCTGTCACTGTGGAGTACGGCAATGGGTGGTGCGGTGGTTGAAAGGCTATCAAGTCGGGTTTTGGTAACTTCATTTTGTTCATTGGTGGCCAACGTAGAAAACTACGTGAAAGCAAGGGCCTCTTGGAAGGAGGCGGGGGATTTGAGGTGGTGCATCTTGTTAAATGAAAACCGAAAGCGGGTCCGGATAAGCATTTCTTGCTTTCCCTGTTTCGTAATCCACTCCGTATGGAGTGCTTGAAGAGGTGTAATTTGGAAGCACTGATTAGACTGACCAAGGCAGCGAAAAATTTCAGTAAGGCCTCTTCCGTTGTCTTTCTATGGCGTACGATAGTGAGAGCAATCAAGGAGAAGTACGGTTGGAGCGTGAACGCAAAGTTAGTGGTACGATTGAAATTTAACGATCGCATTGGATTAGTGGAGGTGCGGAAGTTAGTGAACGACAAGATCAAGGAATTGGACATTCCAGTCTGTTTGAAGGATGTGACACGTGGGAAGGTTTGGATCGTATGGGTTAAAAACCCGCCCGTTTGCGTGGTATTGCACAATCAGCGGCGTTTTGCCAAGGCTAATGTGTTGACCTGCGCATGTGCAGGTATGCCCTACCCTCGGGTGGGAGGCCACGTTCGCTTCCGATTGCAGGAACAGGAAGGGGTTAATCCCCTAATCCGTAATTGCTAATAACGTACCTAAACTGGAAGTTTCGGATCGTGAAAATCTGCAGGCGAGGGAGATTTCAACCGCTTTCGCTACGTGGATTAACAGTGGTAAAGAGGGTATCACTGTTCGGAGAGGAGAGGTTGGTGTATGTCAAAAACGGTGAGGAAGGAGAAAAGTACTTGGATACAAAGGACGTGGAAGTGCTGAAAGTGAAGCTGGAAAGGCTGGTACTAACTCCACTGGATCGGAATTCAGGTGAAACCTTAGTGATGTGTCCTAAACTGTACTTTGACGCAATGATGGAGATGTTTGTCTTGTCACCACGTTACACAATCATGGAGGATAGTGAGAAGGCTGTCCATAAGAAGATGATAGCGGATACGGAAGCATCGGGTTTGCACTAGTTCGTTGGGTGGGATGTGAAAGGGAAGGTGGGTGAGGCGTATATTAGGCCCAAATACAAAGATTTGTCTCGCTTTAGACCTATCTGCCCGAATTACTTTGAACCGACAATTTGGACATGTCGAGCAGTGACGAGGAAACAGAGAAAGGAAACACAAAATCATTCTGGGAACAACTCATCCGCATATAGAGAAAATCGGTCCAAAGCAAAGAGACGAAGTTCTCATACAACTTCTTTTTCGGCAATCCATGGATCAAAGACGAAAACGGCCTTAACTTCTCTCTCACCAAAACAGACATCAAATGGAGACATTGGATAGAGAAAAACGTATGGCAAGTGCAACATCTCCGGAAAGAACGAACAAATAACTGAAAAACAACAAAGGATCTGCGGAACTTACTAAACGAGTGCCACAATTTGCAGGTCAACATCACTCACATCATCGAAAGCATACCTCTAGAATGACGTCAGTTGTTAAAGACTAATCAAAAGTGGATGTGGGGAGATTGGGCATCGAACAGAGAACATTGTCAAATACATCCCACAGAAACACTTAGAGTCACAAACAGCAACCTACAAAATAATAATTGGATACTATGTTCCATCTATCCCCTACAAGAACCAGGAAACCCATCTAGTTTCATCAGCAAAGAACCAATGGCAGGAGGTGTCTTCATTTCAACCAATCTCAGAAGAATCCGGGTCATAGAAGGAGACAGAAACAGAGTTTACCGACCCGTAACAGAAATAAAACACCTGGAAATAGATCCACTTGAATGGTCTTGGACTATAATTCCCCAAGAGAGCGCCGCTATGCACTCACTGACTATACACCCAAGTTAGGCTACAAGCGCCACAACAAACCCCCTTCCATACACACAATCATACAAAGAGATGAGAAAAGGAGGAAATTACCATCACATCGGTCAAAATCAACCCATCATGGACCTCTATCTTTGGCACAAGACCACCCAAACTAGCCAGTCTGTTATGGCTCATAACATTTCGTGCAGTGTTCGTCAATCTCTAACTATCGCAAATAAGAAAGAAAGATAATGACACTGAGCAAACATCGTGGTGCAGGGTGTGCAACACCCAACTCGAAGAATCACTCAATCATTGCTTCATAGATTGCCCAAAGACAAAGCAACTCTGGCACGATATAAAATTAACATGGAACAAACACTCCAATAAAACTATCGCGATCAACCCGGGCACCCTATTCCTAGAGGTAGATAAAAATCCACCCCTCAAAGGTTTTGAGCGTCTTTTTTTCTCACTCATAAAAAAATCGACCCTCTAGGAGATCTGGAAAAGGAGATGCACAACAACCTTCGAGGTTTCTTGTAATACCCCTGAAAACCCGCTCATAGCCATTAAACAGACAGTCAAAACAGAAATTCAAGCACAATGGAATAAAACATACACGAAACTCCAATCCCTACAAAATGCTCTAGATAAGAAACAAAAGATCATTAATAAATTCATGATCTCCCTGATTCTAGGCAACAGGAAACTAGGAACGGTTGAAAGAGAAAGACTGCGCTGACAAGACTGGTTAGTTATCATCAAACATCACCCGAAAGCACGCTCATCAATTGAAATACCCTCTCATCCTCCAGGTCTCAGCCCACACCAGAAACCCAACACACCCACGTCATTCACACCACACTAAATCCTAACACCGATTACCCATCACACTACCCCATCAAGATACACGGTCTAAGCTTCCGATAATAGTTTGGTCAACGGGTCATCTGCCTCCCAGATCTCTAAGGTTTAGAGTTTTTCGCTTTAGATGCTACTCTCAAGGTTACAGTCAGACGATACTTCCAAACACGCTACCAGTAATTCAAGGTTTAGGGTTTTAGCCTCATGCATTACTTTCAAAGAAAATTTCTCGAAAGGAAACCGAAATTGGAGCAAAGAGGTTTGTCTCACCCGCCACACAGGTAAAGCAGAGTCACACCATAGGCTCAATTGACAGAGAGGAGCAGTCAGAAAAAAAACCGGATAGTTCCAGCAAAGTCAAGTAGCTATCACTCATAGCTTCTAAGGAAAAAACAACCTAGAATAGTCTAACTTGAGCAAGGGTAAAGATCGGTACAACCTCCTTCAAGGAAGTAATCAATGCGGTCGTCTTTTGGGCCTCCACGCCGTAAGGGGGAGGAGCGTGAGTGAGTAACATTTGTACTACCTTGGACTTGCCGAGTGAATAGGAACTGGACTGGTGCTCCCCAGAATGGAAAAGGAGCAAGAACCATAAGGTTCTGTTTTAAAAAAAATAAAAAATAAAAAAATTCAGGGTGTTGTAGAGGCCAGTTACTAGGCTCACATTCAAACGGAGCGCGACTTAGCGTTGCACGGGTGCGTGCGCCTACGATGCTCCTATGGCAGCAAGCAAGT